AACATCACACACCGGGGCCTATTATGGGGAGGGGGAAGGGGGGAGGGATGGCACTGGGAGTTATACCTAATGTAAATGATGAGTTGATGGGTGCTGACGAGTTGATGGGTGCAGCACACCAACATGGCACAAGTATACATATGTAACAAACCTGTATGTTGTGCACATGTACCCTAGAACCTAAAGTATAATTTAAAAAAAAAAGAAAAATAATTTTTGATGAAAAAAATTTAGAAAAATAAAAAATAAAAATAATAATAAAAGTAAAAATGAAAAATAATAATAAAAAGACTGATTACCTGAAGCACAGTCACATGAGGTTGGTGAGTTCCATGCTCCTGTCTCAAGGTCAACCCAGTCTCTAATTTGCCCACAACTTTTTCAGACACATTTAGATATACAAGATGAGAATCCTCCACTCCCAGCTTCACTTCTTCCAGATATATTGTTCCAGGTATGACATGTCTGAGTCCTCACCTTCCTGTTTTCTAGGCCATAACTCATGTGGTGATTTGGGGCTGGAAATATCATGTGAATGTAGACCTCAGGTAATGCAGATGGTGCCCATCACAATGCCCATGAGGCCTGCAGCCAACCCAAGGGTGCAGATTTGGTTTACACCAAATGGTTTCTATCAGCTCTGACATATGGGGTGGGAATCTCAGGTTCTGAGAAAAAAGAAACAGATAGGGTTACAGGATACTGTGTGTCTATGAGGAGATTGGTGTGTGCATTTGGAAGTGTACAAGACACCTAGACTTTGGGAGACAAGTGAAGTCAATCATTACAAAATTTTGCAATTGTGGGAAATGAAGTTGTGGCAATGAGGGCTAAAGGTCATAAGGCAAGGCAATGTGGACTTGGGATACAATTGGATGATATATACACCATGATGGGACTTAAATATACCCCAGTGCTTGAGGAGTGACTCTTCTAGGCCCCAGTGCTCCACCTTGCAGTCATAAAAATAATCAGTGCAGGGGAGAAAAATGAGGTAACTGAGCTTGAGGAAGGAGTGGTCACTCTTGGGGTAGAAGGTTGTCTCAGAAATACCTTCTGGAACTAAGCATCTGTTGTAAACCCGAATGATATTGATGACAGGAGGAAAGATGTTGTCCACTAGACAGATGAGAGTGTTGGAAACACCCAAGACCACAGAAGATTTGGGAAAGTCAGACATTGCAGGAATTTCTACAGAAAAGACAATGAACTTATATGAGTTTATGATTACCATGCCTTGAGTTTATTGATCATTTTAGGGGAGGCTTTCCATTCACAATTCCCTAGCTGTTTGTGAGATTTTTCCTGTCCTTTCAAAAACTAGGTGCAACCTTCATCTTATCAGCATGAAACTCAAAACACTTCCCTGCCTCTGGGAATTTACAGATAATTGTGTGTGTGGGTCTGGGTCTGTGTCTGTGTCTGTGTGCTTGCACGTGTACATGAGCACACATGCATGCCAAGAGGCCAAGAGTTTGGGAACATTTTTTTTTTTATTATTATACTTTCAGTTCTAGGGTACACGTGCACAACGTGCAGGTTTGTTACATATGTATACATGTCCCATGTTGGTGTGCTGCACCCGTTAATGTGTAATTTACATTAGGTATATCTCCTAATGCTATCCCTCCCCCCTCCCCCCATCCCATTACAGGCCCTGGTGTGTGATATTCCCCACCCTGTGTCCAAGTGATCTCATTGTTCAATTCCCACCTATGAGTGAGAACATGAGGTGTTTGGTTTTCTGTTCTTGCGATAGTTTTCTCAGAATGATGGTTTCTAGCTTCATCCACGTTCCTACAAAGGACATGAACTCATCCTTTTTTAGGCTGCATAGTATTCCATGGTGTGTATGTGCCACATTTTCTTAATCCAGTCTATCATTGATGGACATTTGGGTTGATTCCAAGTCTTTGCTATTTTGAATAGTGCTGCAATAAACATATGTGTGCATGTGTCTTTATAGCAGCATGATTTATAATCCTTTGGGTATATACCCAGTAATGGGATGGCTGGGTCAAATGGTATTTCTAGTTCTAGATCCTTGAGGAATTGCCATACTGTTTTCCACAATGGTTGAACTAGTTTACAATCCCACCAACAGTGTAAAAGTGTTCCTATTTCTCCACATCCTCTCCAGCACCTGTTGTTTCCTGACTTTTTAATGATTGCCATTCTAACTGGTGTGAGATAGTATCTCATTGTGGTTTTGATTTGCATTTCTCTGATGGCCAGTGATGGCGAGCATTTTTTCATGTGTCTGTTGGCTGTATGAATGTCTTCTTTTGAGAAATGTCTGTTCATATCCTTTGCCCACTTTTTGATGGGGTTGTTTGTTTTTCTCTTGTAAATTTGTTTGAGTTCTTTGTAGGTTCTGGATATTAGCCCTTTGTCAGATGAGTAGATTGCAAAAATTTTCTCCCATTCTGTAGGTTGCCTGTTCACTCTGATGGTAGTTTCTTTTGCTGTGCAGAAGCTCTTTAGTTTAATTAGATCCCATTTGTCAATTTTGGCTTTTGCTGCCGTTGCTTTTGGTGTTTTAGACATGAAGTCCTTGCCCATGCCTATGTCCTGAATGGTATTACCTAGGTTTTCTTCTAGGGTTTTTATGGTATTAGGTCTAACATTTAAGTCTCTAATCCATCTTGAATTAATTTTCGTATAAGGAGTAAGGAAAGGATCCAGTTTCAGCTTTCTACTTATGGCTAGCCAGTTTTCCTAGCACCATTTATTAAATAGGGAATCCTTTTCCCATTGCTTGTTTTTGTCAGATTTGTCAAAGATCAGATGGTTGTAAATGTGTGGTATTATTTCCAAGGGCTCTATTCTGTTCCATTGGTTTATATCTCTGTTTTGGTACCAGTACCATGCTGCTTTGGTTACTGTAGGCTTGTAGTATAGTTTGAAGTCAAGTAGCATGATGCCTCCAGCTTTGTTCTTTTGGCTTAGGATTGTCTTGGCAATGCAGGCTCTTTTTTGGTTTCATATGAACTTTAAAGTACTTTTTTCCAATTCTGTGAAGAAAGTCATTGGTAGCTTTATGGGGATGGCATCAATCTGTAAATTACCTTTTTTAGATTAAATTACCTCTTTTTAGATTATATAGGATAATCTCCAGATGTTGCCATGGCATTTGTAAACTGTCATGGTCCTGGTGGGAGTGTCTTTTAGCATGATAATGCATCATAATTAGCAAATAATGAGCAGTCAGGAGACCAGAGGTCTCTTTGGTTGCTATCTTGGATCTTGGTTTTGGTGGATTTTGGCTGGCTTCTTTACTGCATCCTGTTTTATGAGCAAGGTATCTGTGAAAGCAGTCCAGCTGGCCTCCTATCTTATCCCGTGACTAAGAATGCCAAATCCCCTGGAAGTGCATTCCAGCAGGTCTCAGCCTCATTTTACACAGATCCTATTCAAGATGAGTTGGTCTGATTCCAATGCTTCTGGCAATGCCACTCAATTTCTTCAAAGTAGATGGCCACAGTTTATGTTCAAACAGGCCTCCTCTTGATATTTTGTGTCCAGCCTCCTCTGGTTTTCTGAGATTTCTTAGGGTAGGATCGGAATGGAGATGTTTATCAGCCTTCCCATTATCCACAAGACAAAACTTGTTAGAAAACCCAAATCTGTTACCCAGTCATCAGCATATTGCATATTGGCTCAAGTACGTGCTTGGCCAGTAGCTGTTATAGGTACAGAACATGAATGCCAATATACATGAACAGAGTGGCGCTGCTTTTCCTTCTGGAGGTAGAAGTGGGAAAACAAGGACCATTGTACGTAGTGGATGAGGAACATGGCCAGGAGGACACAGGTGGTACAACTGCAGAGGCACTGGGCAGATGCCAGGCGCACTCGTAGAGGACACCCATTGCAGGGCCCAGGCAGTCCGTGGGCAGCCATTGGTTGGAGTGAGGTGACTTATAACAGCTTGAGGCAAGCCCACCAGCTCCAGCAGTGTGAAGCACATGCAGCCCCAGAAGGCCTCCAGGTAGGTGAGCTTGTCTAGCAGGTGATGGTCATCCAACTCCCTCTCCTGGGATGGGTGGTATGCTCCATGCCCAGCAGCTGTGGTGGGTCAGGCATAGGGCGGTGAGGAGGGGGCAGGAGGTGCAGCTACCTGAGGACTGCGCAGCTACCGAATGCACCCAGGCTGGGTACTGACCCTGGCCCCTCCCAGGCTTCCATGTGCTCTTTGTCATTAAAATACACATCTGCATACTTATTTTATTAGATTATGCATTTCTTAGAACAATGGGCCAATTAATTTTACATATAAGAAATACAAAGATCAAAGTAGTGAATTGACATACTCAATGGCACTCAGTTAATTATTTTAATTTCTCCAATTCCAACAATCTTCAGTAAAATTTGTCCTCCTCACCTCCCAAGTCCAAACTTGGAAAATATAGATTATGTTGGAAACAAAGAATATGACATGCTACTTTCTTTTTTTTTTTTTTTTTTGAGACGGGGTCTCGCTTTTTTGCCCCGGCTGGAGTGCAGTGGCCGGATCTCAGCTCACTGCAAGCTCCGCCTCCCGGGTCTACACCATTCTCCTGCCTCAGCCTCCCGAGTAGCTGGGACTACAGGTGCCCGCCACCTCACCCGACTAGTTTTTTGTATTTTTTTTTTAGTAGAGACGGAATTTCACTGTGTTAGCCAGGCTAGTCTCTATCTCCTGACCTCGTGATCTGCCCGTCTCGGCCTCCCAAAGTGCTGGGATTACAGGCTTGAGCCACTGCACCCAGCCTGACATGCTACTTTCTATATGGCAAGGAAAGTTGATGGACCTGGTTGTCCAAAGGAATCAGACAAAATGAAAATAAATTAATAATAGTTTTGAGAAACAGTTTAGAGTAGGTTAGGAGTAGTAGAATCATAAATGGCTGTTAAAGGAAAGCAATCTATCTGGAGAAACATCTGTAATACCAGCAGCTATTGTAAATCAGTGCCAAATAATGTTCAGGAGTATATTATATGGTTCTGACATTAGAAAGAAAATAATGCCCTTGGTGAACACTTCAATGACAGGTGGACCTTACGGAATTCACTTTGGTCTACTAACTAAGCATGGATTTTAGGCTGGGATTTGGCTTCATAAACATAACAACTCAGATTAAGAGGAGCTGGGGTTTCACAGACTACCTCTTGAGGCCAACAACCTGATTCACAGTTTCTTGCCATTCTCTTTTTTTTTTTTTTTTGAGATGGAGTCTTGCTCTGTCGCCCAGGCTGGAGTGCAGTGGCTGGATCTCGGCTCAGTGCAAGCTCCGCTTCCCGGGTTTATGCCATTCTCCTGCCTCAGCCTCCTGAGTAGCTGGGACTACAGGCGCCCTGGCCTCGCCTGGCTAGTTTTTTGTATTTTTTAGTAGAGACGGGGTTTCACCGTGTTAGCCAGGATGGTCTCGATCTCCTGACCTCGTGATCTGCCCGTCTCAGCCTCCCAAAGTGCTGGGATTACAGGCGCGAGCCACCGCACCCGGCCGCCATTCTCTTTCACAATTCTGAATCCACATGCTTCAACTGTGCACTCACCCACAATGTCTTCATCTCCATAGGGCCTTATCATGGTGGTCAGGGCAAAGACTCCTAGAATCAGAGCTGTGTTCATGGTCATTCTCCAATTGTCTCCTCAGGGGTGGCTGTTCTGAGTGGAGTAGCCATAAGAACTGTGCAAGGAAAATGATCAAAAGAGAACTGCTGGAAGAAACCATGTAGGTGGAGCCCAATCCTAAGCTGTCCCACGTTTCTGCCCATCAGAGGAATTCCCTGGTGCACCTCTGCTTTCTAGGTTCAAGCGATCCTCTCACCTCAGCCTCCTGAGTAACTGGGATTACAGGTGCCCGCCACCATGCCCAGCTAATTTTTGTATTTTTAGTAGAGACGGGGTTTCATCATGTTGGCCAGGGTGGTTTGGAACTCCTGACCTCAAATGATCCACCCACCTCAGCCTCCCAAAATGCTGGGATTGCAGGAGTGAGCCACTGCACCCGGCCCCTAAGAAACCTTTACTATGCTGTACCCCACCACACCCCACTCCACATGTCTCCACACCTGTTATGCTTTAGGTGACTGGGATACAGGAGAAACACAATAGACAGCAATTCTGCTTATCACGTATCTTTCTACATTTCTGGTTAGCTCTATTCTAAAAAAAAAAAAAAAATCTCTACTAATAAGAGCCAAGGAACATCTTATTTTCTCTTCTTCTGTACTTTCAATTAAGCGAGTTCTTCACTTGTATTCCTAAAAGCCCCAGAATTTTAAACGTCTATATTTTCCAAATGCTTAAAAATGTGTCATGTCATATAGAGTTGTAACATCATGCAGAACCATCCATATTAACCATTCATACACCCTTTTCTTCATCCTGATTTTTTCTGCTTGGCGCACTTCTTATGATCTGTGCCTGGTGCTATCTATATTCAGTGGAAGTTTGTGGAAATGATGTATATCAATGAGAATTGTCTCAATTAATGATAAAGTGATGAACATATGAAGTTTCTGATGGTCTTCACTGTTCCTCCAGCATGCCCCTCTATGAATATGGAGGTATTTTCCTCCTCGTTGCATTCAGAATCTACTATAGCCTCCAACGTTCTGCACAACAAACTGCAGGATTTTCCTCACACCATTCTAACCTACCTTCTATCTTGCAGAAATCTCTTAAGATTCCAACAGCAAACTGACCACTTATTTTTGCAATGCCATTAGATTTTGCCTATTATTACTTTAAAATATTTATTTATAAATTCATTTGGTAGGCTGTGGTTTTTCACACACAGGATCAGAACACCATCAAACAGTGAGAGCCTAGCTTCAGAGCTCAGATTCAGTTGAAGACTAGTCCAGCCAAAGTCCTGCTACTAATGGGTGTGTGTGTGTGTGTGTGTGTGTGTGTGTGTGTGTGTGTGTATGTGTTGTGTATGCAGCCTCTGCAAGGTTTGGGGAGACTTGGTATACTGACTTTCAGCCTGCCTTCGATCTCACCTATGCATTACACATTTGACTACTTCCTAGTTGGTTTTGAGCCTAGTATGCTAGCTTTACATGTAGCAATGCAAAATTATTAGTACATTGACTCATATGAGAGGAATGAGTATCATTTTGACACTGAATTACATGAGATTTTCTTTTGTCTGCTAAAGAAAACAAAATGTTTCTCCTGGTAATTTAATGGAAAAAGATGCAAGGTTAAATCATGTAAATTTCCTAATAATCTGCTAGTATTCTAAAATACTTAGAAACATATTTTGATAATGCTATTTAATATAAATACTGTAATTAAGTTGACTAGTCTGCTAAGTGATCATTATTTATATGAATGCAGGTTTTCTGAGAAAAACATTCCATGAAAAACATTCAAATGAGTCATAGTCAACATATATAACAGAAAAATCTGTAGTTTGTTCAAGGGTTTTGCATTTTATTATCAGTTCCATGGCCTCTTTATGGTCTCAAAATCCAACAGTGGTTAAAATTCCATCATAATAACAGAGGCTGGATGGAACTTGCAGAAAGTGCATCGATTTCATGATAACAAAAACTGGAATTTAAATACGTGTTCTCATTTACATTAATCAGTTGCACCACCTTGGACAATTGATGTATGTCATTTTTACCCACCAATTTTCTCTGTGAAATGGAAATGGTCTTACTTCATAATCCATTAGTATGCTAAAACTAAATTATATATGTAAATGCAGTTGTTGAATTAGTCTGCATAGTTATTCCCAGTATCTCTTTTTATCCCTTCAGTGTCTCAAGCATCTATAATGACAGTCCTACTCTCCTTTTCTAACTGGTAATTTCTGTTTCTCTCTTCTTTCCTAGGAGTTTATCAATTTTATTAATCTTTCCGAAGAACCATCTTTGGCTTTCTGTGTTTTTGTTTTGTTTTGTTTTTAAGAGACAGAGTCTCACTCTGTCGCCCAGGTGGGAGTACAGTGGCGTGATCCTAGCTCACTGCAGTCTCGACTCCTGGGCTCAAGCTATCCTCCCGCTTCAGCCTCTGGAGTAGCTGGGACTACAGACGTGTTTCACTGTGCCTGGGTAATTTTTGCATTTTTTTGTATAGAGGAGGTGTCACTATGTTGCCCAGGCTGGTCTCCAACTCTTGGCTTCAAATGATCCTCCCTCTTCATCCTTCCAAAGTGCTGGGATTACAGATGTGAGCCACCACACCCAGCCCAGCTTTGTTAATTTTTCTGTTTGCTGGTTTTCTGTTTCATTGTTGTCTGGTTTTGCTTTTATTAATTCCTTCTTTCTTTTTTCTTTTTTGTTGTTGCAATATTTAATTATTTCTTTTTTTAAAAATTTTACTTTAAGTTCTGGGATACATGTGCTGAACATGCAGGTCTATTACGTAGGTATACGTCCACTATGGTTTGCTGCACCTATCAACCTGTCATCTAGGTTTTAGGCCCTGCATGCGTTAGGTATATGTCCTAATGCTCTCCCTCCCCTTTCCCTCCACTCCCCAACTGGCCCCGGTGTGTGATGTTCCCCTCCCTGTGTCCATGTGTTCTCCTTGTTCAACTCCCACTTATGAGTGAGAACAGCAGTGTTTGGTTTTCTGTTCCTGTGTTAGTTTGCCGAGGACGATTGTTTCCAGCTTCATCCGTCTCCCTGCAAAGGACATGAACTCATTCTTTTTATGGCTGAGAGTATTCCATGGTGTATATGTGCCACATTTTCTTTATCCAGTCTATCATCGATGGGTCAAGTCTTCGCTTTTTAATTCCTTCTTTCCACCTTCTTCTATCTTCTTTAGGTTTAGTTTGCTTTCCTTTTTCTACCTTGTTAAGGTAGAAGCTCACACCATTAATTTTAAACTTCTCTTCAGTTCTGATGTATACATTTAAAGAAGTTAATTTGCCTTCAAGCACTCTTTCAGCTTTTTCTTCTGCATTTTGATATAATGAACTTTATGATCATTCACTTAAAATATTCTCTAATTTCCTTTGTAATTTCCTCTGAGACCTGTGGCTTATTTGGTAGTGTGTTGATTAATTTCTGTATATTTAGGGGATTTTCTAGTTATTAGTCTGGTACTGCTTTCTAATTTAGTTGAGGGTTTTTTTTTGTCAGAGAACATACTCTACCCAATTTTAATACTGTTGAATTTCTTGAGACTAAATTTATATCCAGTATGTTGTTTATCTTGATGAATATTTCATGTACACCTGAAAATAATTCGTATTTTGCCATCGCATATTCTAATGTCTTATAAGTATCAATTAGGCTGATTTAATTATTAATGCTATTCAATTGTTTAATATATTTTCCTGATTTTTTATTTGTTTCTTTTACCAATTGTTGAGAGAAGCATTTAAGATCTCTATGATTGCAAATTTATTTATATTTTCATTTCTGTCAATTTTTGTATCATTTTTTATTTTATTTATTTTATTTATTTATTTATTTATTTATTTGAGACGGAGTCTCGCTCTGTCGCCCAGGCTGGCGTGCAGTGGCATGATCTCGGCTCACTGCAAGCTCTGCCCCCCGGGTTCAGGCCATTCTCCTGCCTCCACCTCCCGAGTAGCTGGGACTACAGG